CCCAAAAAAAAAAACAACAAAAAATATCAAAAAGCTTGCAAGAAGAAAATTTCCTCTTCCACAAAGGTAAGATTAAAGATATAACCTCAAATTCGTATTTCAGCCAAGATTAGTCTGCCCAACAACAACAAAAAAAACAAAAAACCAAAAAAAAAAACAGAAAACCAAAAAAAAAAAAAACAGAAAAAAAACTATGAAAATATTGAACTTGTAAAGGTCAAGGTATGCAATGGAGATAAGCAGATAACGCACACTAAACGAAAAAAGAATGTACAAAAGCAAAGCCACAAATAGACAACGAAAACAACTCGCTTGATTGCAGGATGCCGTAGACAGCGATATAATAAAGAAGCTGAAAAAGGCCAATAACTAAAGTTAAGCCAATTTCAATGGCATTCAACGAAACAGCTGAAATTACTCGTGCTGCAGCTATTATCTCAACGCCTGTTCCCAGCATACAAAGCTGCACACACATTTTGATAGGAAAAGTTACATTTGAAAAGGAGAAGCACAGCGAACAACGAAATCAAAACAACCAAGCAACGCCGAAAGAGATCATTTGCCGATTGATAAGATTGATAAGCACGCATTGTAAATGAAAATGAACACAAAGAAACAACGAAACATATAAAACGAAGGGACTCAAAACAACAACAATGCAAAAACCATGCACTGGCCGAAATGAAGAACTGGTCGAAACGCATGCGCATTGACGATGATTTAGCACTAAAGAGGGGCGAAATGCGGAAAGTGTTATACTTGATAAAGGCTATGTGCATACATGTGTGCACATTATAATTTTGTATTTCTTTTCGTGTAATTTCAAACATGTTATAAATAACTCTAAAAACATAAAAAGGCTGTTAACAAGTGAAACGACAGCCTGTGCATGACAGATAAACTACTTGTATGCAATAAAGTATGAAGTAAGCAAATGCTTGTAGTTCTTTCGCTTTTATATCTGCAGCTACTAAATTTGTAGATTTGTTTACAGATATTGCGGAACTAATTTGCATACATATGTGCGTAATTTGTTAGAAAATAATTCAAACGTCATAAACGAGTGTTTGAAGGAAAAACAAATAGGCTCATAAAAATGCCAAAAACTTTGAGTGAACTTTTGATAAGAGAAAATATTTTACTTGAAAGCGCCTCAAACCCATTTTACATTTTTAGGCATCACGAGTGTATAGTCACACTCACAAGCACATATATAAATAAATAAATAATGGAATGTTTGAAATCTAAAGCTAACTTGTCAGTGAAAAACAATAATTTAAGTGTTATTCTTGAAAATTTATTTTTCGATGCATATCTTTGGGCGCTCAACTGCACAAATTTATGGCAATCTCACAACTGCACCGCACTTTTTCTTGTACTACGTAAATTTCCTGATGTTGTGTTTAAAACGCAAAATATATCACTCAGAAAACTTGCGTAACTCAATTTCAGGACAATTAGATATTAAAAAAGCTACTTTTTTGAATATTTTCTGAAGGATTTCAGTTGTAAGTTGCTTATGCTTAGGTATCATGCCTACCTTAAAGGTGAGTCATTACCACTTTTTATACACACCTTGATTTCTTTCACATTTTATTAACTGATTTATGCGCGGAAATTTTCTAAATAATAATGCAAATTGTGCTTTATAAAAAGCGTATAGTGCGTTATTTTTTGATATTTGTTTTTTATCGAAATGGTGCGTTTGAACAAAAAGTAACAATTTTCACTATAAAATATTGCATAAATTTGTTAATTAAAAAAAAAAAACTATGTAATAAAAAAACAATTCCAACGTACATCTCTAACGAATTTCGTATGAATCGATTTAAAAAAGTGATTTCGGGTAAAACGTGCTGGACTCGTGAATGGCGCTCGGCCCATTTGGTATGCAATTTGTTAGACCTTAAAGCACATTTTAAGACCAACAATTTTTTTTCGATTTTTTTCAAAATTCTAGACCAGCTTCGCCAAGAATTTTTTTCCGCTTTACTTTTTATTTAATCGGCAAATTCAAAACATAAATTTAATTTAAGAGAATAATTAATTACAAATCGTAATAAAAGTTTAAATTTAAATTGTTGCTATTCCAGAATTTGATTTGCTTATTTTGTTGTAGCCTTTGAAGTAAGCATTCGATTTCATTTGTAAATACAGTAATATTAAAATTAATGATGTAGTCGCTAACCAAAGTACTAATGTTCCTACCAGCTGTTAGAAGTGAGCAAAAATTGATTCATTTCTTTTGCGATTTTTTGCAGGTATAAAAACGGCCGAAAAGCATATTTGTTTTTCATTTTACTTATTTTTTTATAGTTTTTCTTTAGCTTTTTTTACTTTGGCTAAATACATTTGTATATTTAGTATTATTCTCACGAATTATACCAACATTATTTATTTAATCAAGTTTTTCTACCAAATTTTTTGCTATAGAAGGGAGAAAAACTTCACGCATGCCCTGTGAGAAAAATTCATCAGCTTCAATTTACAATTTTTTAACTGAAGCAAATTAAGAAGGTATTTTACCCGTTTAACTGTCAGTTGTTTTTCTGTTACATATTCAGATTATGAAGACAAGTCAACTCAGACTTTCATAAAAGAAGTAGCTCAAGAGTTTAAAGTTGCAATACAAGTGATTTGCTCTTTAAGTTGGAATATGAAAAACGTGGAAAACCTGTCATATTTAACTACGTCATAAGAACAATGAAATTAGCTTAGTTCGGAGGCAGCCATGATTCATACCAGAATTCATTTTTCGCTGAACGCTTTTCGAAGTCCGCCACATATGTTCGATCTAATTCAATAAAAATCCCGTCTGTGGCATTCGCTTTCAATCTTTTTTTGATGTCGAATATTTGCTAAACTTTTTTTTATAATTTTATTTAGTGTGAAGTTACCAATCATAATTTTCGTGCTATTATCATTTCCAACAATCATGATGACATCAAGTGATTATTCGGTTTACAGGGTTTTCGGAATTTTTAAGAAAAATGTTTTCATTTAAGTATGAAGAATATGTGAATTAAAATTGAAGGAGGCAGAAGTGGTTCAGCAGACATCAGTTGGGTACTGCTTCGCCAAAAAACGAAGGTATTGAAGTCTAAAACGCAGCAACTAATAAACTCTTGGTATTTTTTGCATAAAAACTTCTAATAACGCACCCTTTTTGCAGCTTTTCCAGATATCTCACCCATACACAACTGATTGATTACTCATCCCCGAAGAAAAGCAGTGATATTAAAGCAAACATTCATACATTCGCTGCTTTTCCAATGGAGGCATGCAATAACGAACCATAAAAGTGAAATTAATGGTTTCTTGATATATTTTGTGAATGGTTGTGTCAAAATTGTTTGTTTTCTATGATTGTTTGTATTATCTTTGTTGCTTTCCCCCGCACTTGGCGGCGTGTGTATGTGAGCGGCCTACAAATGCTTTTAAATAATAAATAAATAAATTTATCCACTGTCCGCTTTGTCTGGATTATTTTCGGTTGCATTTACAACTTGATTGTCATTATTCATGACAATGACAGCTGCTAACATGGGTAGACGACATTTGTCAAAGGTGAGGTGAGTTTAGTTGACGTTAATGGAATAATAAACAATTTTGATATGTATATGTGTATATTTCTGAAGAACTAAAATATAAACGTTTTCTACTTTTTAATATAAAAAATAATAACTGTTTGGTAAGATCGGGTAAAATAGCTAGAGAAAGCCTCTAATTTATTCGTAATCCCTTATTCACCTCTATCTGCACAAAGTTCACTACCGTCCACGCTTGGGGCCATTTTCCTTGTTGTTACCCGAATAGGTGATTGCACTAATTAACAACGTTGTGCTGTTATTATGCATACAAACTCAGTGCACATTGGGCATAATGAAATTAATTTGCGTACATACATACATAGACGCCTCTACACGCATTATTAACCACATTCATATTAGATATTAGAAATTTGACACGCACTTGTAGCCACTTTTGGCGCAATTTTCCAATCTGTTCATAGCCTCTACACTCGATCGCCTATGGCTTTTCGGGATATGACGGTCGTGCTTTTTGGCCATAGTTGTATCTACCTCAACTCAGTCTAGGTGGTCACAATGTATATGAAAATATTTTGTAGTTGCTGCACTTTCTTGCCGACATACATACATTTGTATGTATGTACATAAACTCAGTTATACACGCGTTTTGGCACGCTTTGTATGGTTGGGGAGAAAGATGTCAGTTATCGAGGAATTAGGGGCTTTGTGGGGTACGCCTGCAATGCATTCAAGCTGTCGAAATAATTGGAATTTCGTAAAAATGTGATTCATCAGATAATAGTTATTGCTTCGACTGTGTTCAACCATTATCTTTCTTATGTTTAATTTCACTAAATCCCGTCTTGATGCAAAAGGCTTAGATCGTTTTGAAAAATATTATATGTATATTGTATCTCATTTATATAATTAAAAAATATAATAGACATATATATATATATATATAATATTTACCTCCGAGTACATATTTTGTTTTTGCATGCAACTTTCTTCCTAATTTGGTGCAAGCAAACGCGATTGGTAAAAATTTTTTCAAACTGGGGCATTGTCCAATGACTATGTGTTATACTATATATTAGCCCTTTCGGGAGTCTCGTTCCCTTCAGGCCGCCCAACTTTCCTGTCACCTCTTCTTCTCCTGTCCGTTGGTCTTTACTAAATATTTTTAAATAATATACATATATTTAATTTTGGATTGAATGATAATATACCTGTGTACAAATTAATAAATATTTAATAACAGCAAATTAAAACGGTTTCTTGGCTAACATTTAAGCCTGTTACACACATTTAATGTAACTTTTTAAAATTGGTATTGGCTTCTTTGTAAATAATATATAAAAATTTTAAAGCAACTTTTTTTTTGCTACTAAGAAAATTTCTTTTGATTATTTCCTCAATTTTGATTAATTTGCATTTTGGTTGTAATGCTAAAAATCTTCTAGCGAATAACAACCCTGTGCTAAGGAATGATTTTTCAGTTCGTACTGTACATGCGCACTGTACACATTTGACGTTTGTCAAGCAGCAACAAACACATCAGCTGTTTACAAGCGTTTTGTGAGTTTTCATTGTTTGCCGGAATAGTATTTGTGAAAATTTTGCGAAATTTAATTTGTGTAAAGCGTATAAAATATAAAATCCAAAAATGACGCAAGATATATTAATGAAAAACGATGAGCCCACGACTCCTACAAACGATGCCTCTCGCAATCAGCTCAACCAGTATTGTGCTACAGCGAAAGCTGCGTCAGGTACTCAACTTCTGGATGTTGTCCGTCAAGTTTTGGAGGCACCAGCAATTTATGTATTTGGGGAACTGCTTGCTTTGCCCAATGTGCAAGAGGTGAACAAAATCGCTTTAAAAAGTAAACGGAATTTTTAATAACGTTATTGATTATTACAGTTAAAGAATGGTCCAAATGAAAAATACTTCAATACCCTGAATCTCTTCGCATATGGTACTTACAAACAATATCGTCAAAAGCCTGACGACTATTTGGATTTGACCCCGACAATGCAAAAAAAATTACAACATTTAACAATAGTCACTTTGGCCATTAAAAATAAATGTATCCCCTATGAAGTGCTGTTGGAAGAGCTGGAAATCAATAATGTGCGTCATTTGGAAGATGTCATCATAGAAGCAATCTATGCAGGTGAGTGCTAAAGTATTTATAGAGTAAAAAAGTGGTTATAGTGAAGAATTCCAAAGAAAATGTCTGAAATACTTCTTGTTTCACAGCAATATGAAAAATTTGTGAATTATTCATATATAGGTGCTACGCATAATTCCTCAAATAAAAAATTTAATAACTGATACCAAAAGAGCTTATAAATTTTTATGCAGTCGCGATCAGATAATATTTAAAAGTTACCAGAGAAAATCGTGCATTCACCTTAACGTCAATATGCATTTGTGTGTGTATGTAATGTGTTGGAAACGCTATTATCGTATTTTAGTTTGTCACCATTTGCTAGCATTTCATATAATGTGCTTCTGACTTGCCTGCATTAGTACACCAAAGCTCGCACGAACACAACGGGACAAGCTACAAACCATTCTGCTTTTCAAATTTATTGCTTTAGCTCAGTCCCCATTTATCTTACACCCACCCAAAACGTACTACAGTAAAATGAACTTTTGCAACCGTCTGGTTTGATACAACTCCTTTCAAGTTTTCACACAAGTGGGTAACGTGTGTGGAGTAGTCCAGCAATTCGTATGCTAAAATTGTTTGCAAGTTTTGTACTTGTGTGCAAATTTATTGCTGTAACTGCGGTGCCATATTGGCAATAGTTCTACATCCGAACGCCTAGCAGTGACGCCTGCTGTTGTTGACATCTTACAGTGCGGTTTTCGATCTGTATTCGTGCTCGCATCTAAATATTTTAGTAAGCATGCGTGTCTGTCGCTTTCGAATTGAAAAATACTTACGTTCATACACATCTAGAGCATGTGGATAATAAATCTTTCAGTTTTCCACAACACGATATCCATGCTGCAACTATTGCGACGTAATGACGGTTGAGTTGAAACAGTATAAAGCTTTTTCTGATTAACAAGAAATCTTTTAATGCTTCATTTGCAATCAGAAAATAGTTTTTGCTCATACAAATTTTACGTTTAAATTGCGTCAAAAATCATCCAGGAGTTAAACGCACCTCCTTCCTCTAGCATTGTTGCTAGTTACATTACGCTTGCAGCTCACGTACATTTTTAATTTTGACTCGTTTTAAAGTGCATGCGTTATTGCAGTTGTTACATTTGTTACAGTTGCTGCAGTATCAGTTTTGTAATCTGAGTTTATTGTGAAAGTTGCATCTGCAAAGTTGGAATTTCGTACCATACATATGAACAAAGTGCACTAAACACAAACAGCTTTTTACAATATGCTCAGCAATATCTCATCTTGTTGAGTTAGCGAATTGCTAATGATAGTTTTGTGCGCATGGCATAATCATGCTAACTTACATAACCGATGTCTTGTTCATATGTATATACATGTAAGTATGTATATGGGTGCTACATAGGATATTGTTCTCGTTTTTTATGCCAAAGGATTTGCTATTCATTTAATGCTGAAACGCCTTTCGAACTCGAAAAAAAGAAAAAAGAGTAAAATGAGCAATAAAAAGCTTAACTTTATGTACAGTTTTCTTTTTTCAAAACAGAAGTATCGCGCAAAAAATTCGCGGTCCAAGGAGAAGACGCTTCCTGTGAAATTCGTATAAGATGAAAATAATAATTTAGATCAGATCTTCTGTTTTTGTTGTAGCCGCAAAAATATTCCATAAAATAGTTTTTTGGGATTGTTCCGGGGGTGACAGTCCTTGGCATTCTGGTATAAAGACTCAACTGTCGCGGAAGCTATTAGATGTTAGTCGTTTCTTACAACAGGCATGTCTTACAACAGGTAAATTCTTAAGTGCCCAAACAACAGGGGCACACATTTTTCTGTTAAGGGCTTTGGTTTGAGCGCATGTTCTTGTGCAGTTCGATGTTTCATTTTTCGATGTAGACTCTTCTGTTGACTTTTGAACTCTTGGAACATGGAAACGAAAACGCGTGGAATTGGGGTCATGCAAAGTATATCTACCATAAAAGAAACACGAAGAGAAATTAAAAACAAACATTGTCAGAGCGGATTCTTTGGTCCTCACGCTTTGCATCATTAAGCAGCAGTCGGCATATTTTGCTTAGATAAACTGAATACGCCTTAGGATATTTTTCTCTTCATATTTGATTTAATATTCGAAATTGTATTTGCTTCATTTGCTACTTAACATACGTCTGTGAGAGTGAAACCAGTCAAATTTAAGCTTGAAGATTCAGTTGTTCTTGCTTTGATATTTACTGAGCGATGCTTATGTTATATTTTGCTTTGGTTTATTAGCTTAGTATCTATATATATTATTATAGCTAGAAAGCAATGTGCATGTGCGAGCTTTTTAAACGAATTTTATATTATTTACCTACAAAATACAAGCGAGAATAAGCCGTCGAAAGCCCCCTAGTATCTACGTATGTACGTGTATGTATGAACATGCTTGTACATTTATATGAATTACCACAGGCAAGTAATCATTTAAGCTGGCGCTTTGTCCTTCTGCTTCAGCTTTTTATGTGGTTTATTACTTCTGTGCGTACTTTTTGCAGTGATAAAGTTTTTGGCTAAACGCATATGCACGTTTGTATTTGAGCGTTTCTTCTAAGATGTCTTTACTTTGATGTTATCACTTGTGTGTTTAGTTTTTATTTATTGGGGAAGTATCAACACAGCAATTCTGCTAGCAATGCTTTGCTTAATTTCTGTTTGTTACTTATATCTTTTGCTCTTTGCTGCGCAGAATAATTGAAGAGCTACGTTGTTGACTCGGAGACGGCTGACTTATTGTCAGTTCATGGCTAATAAGCAATAATATTTCGCACAAAGTAATATTTGTAATATTTCGAACTCTTAACTGTTTTCGAAGAGTCATTTTCAACCTATCTTTTTGGAATTTCGTGTAAAATGTCTTTGGTCTTGTTGTCGAAGGGTGAAATGTTCTAAAAAATTTCTAAACACAAATTTTCATTAGAGTTAAACTCAGGAGAAAACTTCATTTGCAAAAAATAAACAAAAAAAAAGTAAAAAATACAACGTTAATACTCTAATGGATACTCTAATTAAAACTCAACGGATGAAAACTGTACGTCGATATACCGTGACTTTCCGAAATACAGTTAACCTTCAAGCGGTCGCGTGGCGTTGATCGTTCTTCTGAATTTGAATGACTTGCTTTCGACTTTTTTGAGTCGAAACACAATAATAACTATTATATTTTACTTATCATAATTTATCTTTATACAAAAATAAATAATTATTAGTTAATTAGTTCTTTATTTCGCTAATATATCAAATAGGTCTTTTCGATTATGCGCGACCGCTGCCGTTACAAATAACCGTGCGACCGCAGCATTTCCGTTAGACCATCAAGAGGTTAAAATACTTTAAATTCTACGTAAACACCTCATTGACTACAATTATACCCATTTAACACTGTTTTGTGCGCTTTTGTGATTTCATGGATAATTAATCGACTCTTATTTGAAAAGATTCTTCTCTCTTATACATCTTTCAATGTTTGCACGTCTGCCTGTCAGACTTCTCTGCCTCTTTACACCTCTCCATCGATCTTCTTCTTCCTTCTACTATTCACTGTAGTTTGGCATTAATGAGTATGAGTTTTCAATAAATAAATAAACAGCCAAATAAAATCTGTGCCTAAGTAATGTACAAAAATCAGATTTTCAATTAAATTTAATACGCATTTAATTAACAAACTGACAGATGAACCTTCGCGTTTAATGCGCGTTACCTCACCTTGCCTCGCACACGCTCTTAGCTCTCACAAGCAGCAGTCATCCTGCGCCTGCCTTGGTTTTTTTCTATTCCATCTGCTCGACTGCGAGTCATACAAAACTCATCACCAGCACGACCTGTCGGCTGCTGACAATGCTACGCACCGTTTTCCAGTTCCACTTGAAGTCTGCAGTCTCGCTTGCGCTTTCGAATTCTACCTTCTCTCATTCTTTAGATTCAACCGTGCATTCGTGCGTCTACCTTGAAATGTTACTTTTTTCTTTTGCAGCATTGCTTTTTCCGCCGTCAGCTGCGTTCTTAATTTCACTTTTATTTGCACGTTTGTCCTACTCTACAAATATTTTCCTTTTGATTTATGTACTTTTTGCGGCTGCAAATCTTCAGCTCACCCTGGATTCGCCATAACGTTAACATATTTCTTACACTGACACCTTAACGTGATTTTGATTTCACCTCCGAAGTGTGTACAGGGTGTGTGTCCAATAAGTCTAACCAAACAACGATAAAAAACTTACATTTCTTTTTTATTAGTTAAAAGTGTTTTCTAGGCAATTTCTAATGGCTACAAGAGTACGCAGCTCAATTAGATTTTTAAGTAATATTTTAACGTTTACAATAGTTTTTTTCGCTCTTAGTGTCGCACCCTATATCACTAAAAAATTCAAGAGTGCAAATGAGCCTGAACACCGCCGTGTTTGCGTTTACTTGCGCCCAGGAGTCGTTTTAGTAAGCAGCACAACGCAGGGCAGGACGGCCTGCCATTGACAGAAAAATTAGCTCGAGTCTAACACGCAGCTGCTTTGATTTGCTGTCGTGGCTTTCGTTTCCCACACTAGTGTCGTTTTTTACCTATTCATATTGCTTTTGGCCTTGATTGTTTGCCTTCTATTCACTTCACATTGCATCTAAATTAGCTTCCTTTTTCGTTTAATTTTCCCTTCTCTTCAGCAGTATTTTATTCTTCTTACCTACTTTACCGTCTTCGAACTTTCTTTCCGGCATGTTTTGTGTATCTTTACTTAGTCTGCTGACAAGCTGTTTGTACCGTTGGCCTCAGCAGCGGGTCTACATTCGACTCTGTCTTTGGCCGTGCGCTTCTAACTAATGTATGTATGTATGTACAATATTTGGCTTTCCACAGATAGCACGGAAAATCATTATCTTGACAGCGTGTGAGTTTATACCCTTGCCGCCAGCATATTCCTTCTTACATGTTTTCCGTGAGATGCTGCATTCGACGTCGGCTCGCTCATTATATTCATTTGAATATTCTACATTCTGCTTTTTGAGCC